TGTAGGACTGGTTTTGTATTTATATTTGCTTCTGATTAATCGTAGGCCTCATTTATCTGAGAGTAGGCACCTCATTTTTTGAGTGAAAAAAGCATTATTTATGAATAATTTTCACAATATTAAAGAAAAACTGGAAAAAAATGAGGTGCCTACTCTCAGATAAATGAAGCCTACGATTAATCAGATGCAAATATAAATACAAGTTGAAAAAAGAAGAAGTTGACAAAGATTGAATCCAATATTTGGTGATAATATAGCATAACGAGTGATTTATAAGCAATTTTTTGAGGCCGGGTCATCACAAAAGTGTTATAGGGTTTTGAACACAACACAAGGTTAAAGAAAGCATAAAGAAAGCTTCTGTATGTCTTCTATCAGGGAATTCTGGCCAGCGTTCTGTCAGTGCTATGCTAGTATCACTAATGATAACAATAGGATTAATAAAATGATCAGAAAGGCAGGTTCAATTATTGGATTTATTCCTGATTCTCTTGAGGTTATTGTGGAAACAAAATTTAAAATTTTTTTTTTTTTTACTATGAAGGGCATCCACTAAATGGTATTTTTAGCAGATTTAAGAGTTCATTTAATGGGAGATTAGTAATGCTTCACTGTTCTACAGAATGATTTAGAAGGTCTTTTATTCTTATTGCTGTTTTTTTTATTTATTATGTATTTATTTATTTTAACAAAGTGGTGCGATTTGTATATGGATTAATTTTGTTATTGTGTTCATTGCTCAATTATTTATTGTGTTGCCTGCAATGTACAACAGTGGCAAATGAGTTGTTGATGGATTGATTGTGATGTTGTGTCTATTGTCAAACTATTTATTGTGCCATGTGTAATGGTGGCAAATAAGTTTCCCGTTATAGGGATTAATAAAGTTTCCTAAGCTTAACCTTAAATTGAAGAACTGGAAATAAAAAACTAAAAGCAATATTTATATAAACTGTAAAACAATATAAAAAAATAAAAATAATGAAAACAACTAATAAAATGACAAAATCACACAACAAAATTACTAAAAATAAACAGAAATGTACATGAAAACTAAACATATAAAAATAAAAGCTTATTCAACATATTAATCAAACTAAACCAACACAGAGTTTAACACGATTAGCTAAAGACTTGCTGACAGAGAAATCTTTCTTTCCTTTTTAATGCCATGTAGCTGAGAATTTAACCTTTAAATGACGTTATGAAATTAATCTCACCTGAGTAAACAAAAGGTACGTAGATGAAGAAAATTATGAACTTAATTTTGGACAAAAATCCATGCATTTCACTCTCAAATAAGTGTAGTCGTCAAAGAGCGCTGCAAACTCTAGACTTCAGCAAGATGAAAAAAAGAAAAGTGGTTACTCAAGGAAGTGTCAGAGCGTATGTCACCGCACTCTGATGAACAATCTCAATACAGATGTTTAGGGAGGAAGCTTTTACAAACTTGTTTTCTCATTAAAATCACAGTTCAATTACTTCTATATGAGAATAACAATGAATGTTAATCCTCTCTGACTAATTTAACCAGTAATTTATTACATTGTACCAGAACAGAAACAACTAAAGCATTAAAAACATATTTCCAACTCACCAACCTAATTTAAAAAACATGTTCTTCATCTGTTTGCTGAAAAGTCAACGATCAGTGGCGTAGCAGATGGGCATGCACTGCGGGGGGACCCCGTGTTGGGGAAAAACTGTATTGGACATTACATGTATTGGACATTAATTTTACGGTAGTATGCCGTTTTTGGAAGTGAAAAAGACCGTATAATTTACAGTGAATAACCGTAAATTAACATTCCCATAATTCCCTGCGTTAAATTTCAAATTTCTTAGTTTTTCTTATCAGTTTTGTATATTAGGGTTGTGTGTTACACCTAATGTTGTTAAATTAATGTTTATTGCATTATTTCAGTTTCATGTGTGTTACCATGATGGTGTTTAGTGTTTGTGTGAATGACACTGTGCACCTTCTATATATGTTATTGTTTAAAAGCTGCTTGTGTTGGGCTTTAGTTCATCATGTGACTTTGTCATCACCACCTGCATTGGGTGGTTATCAGTGTATTACAAAGGTACAAAACAGATTTCAGTACTTCAATAAGGTTGGTATATTAACATTATATCAGTTAATGAAATTACGGTATTTAACTGTAAATTTAAGTTAAAACCTAAAACGTTGCTACCGTATTTTTTACGGTAGCTTCTCGCAAAAATTCATAATTAATAAATTATTTCAAAATGTTTTTCATATCGTTTTTTTACCGTAAATTTTACAGATTTTTTTTTACAGTGTGTCAATAGCCAGAAATATTGTCAAAGGCATCAAATATTGGCAATATTAAGAGGATTTGGCATTTCCAGTTAATGTAGGCCTGTTACATTCTTACTATTATTAGGCCTGTTATTATTATTAGGTTACTTTTATTATTAAATTACAATTAATTTGCCCCGCAATATTTCATAGCGCATCACTGACGCGCTGTGAGGATAATAAAAGATTAGGCTATATTAGCTTACTCCTCATTGAAAATGCTTTTAAAAAAAGGTATTTTAAAACAGGTCCATTAATTTATACAATGAATTATAGGCCTATAATTAAAATTATTAACACTGCAGTCATCAATGAAAATTAAGAGCAGCTTTATTTCAAGTACCGACTTTCAAAAACAACCTGTTTAACGCAAAATACATTTCTCTTTTTTTTTCCACTATGGACGGGCCAAAAGAGAAATATTAAGGAATAATTCAAGACAGTTATATGTCGTTATCAGCATATGTTGAAGTAGATTCGTCTCTTGTCGTCTCTGAGAGAATATGCGCCGTTAATGCAGCGTCAGATGCCGATAGCGCCATCAGCTTGAACTTTTTTTTCACTTTGTATAATTGACTGAGGTTAAAACGTTCACCGGCATAACTCTTGCGCAAAGTTTGCACGTTGCTTAATATCAGCCTTCATGGTTTAAAACATAATTATTTCCAACATTGCGACGGAACAAACCGCCATACCCCATACTTGCAGTTTGTGGGGGGGCCCCGCGATTTTGCGCTACGCCACTGTGTGATATTAATCTGGTTGAATCCTCCCCAAACCTCAGTTTCCGTTCTCACGTCTGTCTCATTTAGCATCATGAAAATCAACAAGCTTTTACTGATCTTACATTTTCATCTGATGCATGATAAGCAGGGGCGTCGCTAGTGAGGGGGAAAGGGTGACAGAGTGCATAGGGCCCAGAGATCTGTGGGGCCCGCAATCCACTGAATGTGATTTTGAGGGGGCTCCATAGCAGTGCACAGGGCCCAGAATTCCTAGGGACGGCCCTGATGATAAGAATAATGTTAGATTTCATAACTGTTGATGGATTCATTTTAAAAAAGTAATACATTTGTATGGAGCTGAAGTCAGAATATTTGGTTCATACAAGTAGGAAGAAACACTCCAGCCACAAACCACTGACCTCATTTATCTTATAATAGACACGCTAATGCAGACGCTGTTTGTCCACCAATAGATCAAATCACATTAGATGTAGAAAATCAGACCACAGCAGGTTTAACTTTAACTCACAAACTAAGCTGATCACATTCATTAAATGACATTTTGCATTTTTGCCAGTGTTTCTACAACAAACAGTAAAAGTTAATAGGCCTATCTGATGATAAAAACTATGAAGAAATTGATGACGCGTCTTCGTTAACAAGATGAGACGGGACTGTATGTTATTTGAGGACTACCGGGCATTCAAAATACATAGGCTACTGTCTTGTCCTTCAAAACGTGCATCCCTGTCATTGGATTGCAATCGGATAAGGGGCGTTTGCATATCTAGTCTCAGCAGTGTTGCCAAGTCTGCGGTTTTCCCGTGGAATTGGGCTACTTTAACACTGTTGAAGTGTTGGGTTGAAGCAACCCTAATAATGTGATATTTAGCCCCTAAAATGCTAATTTTACCAGGGGAACCCCGCCAAACAATGGGGGACCCCCTCGAAACGCGTTTGGGCTAGTTTTGAGTAGCAATTGGGCGGGTTTTGTTGTGAAAACCTGGCATCCCTGAGTCTCAGTATGGCAGCCGCAGTGGATGGATAGGCTACCAAAATGTGAACTAGCGATCTGAAACAATGGTCTCAGCATCCGAAGGGGTAGGGATAAGGTGACCAGACGTCCCGTTTTTTCCCGGGAGTCACAATTCGTTGTTGATTAACTTAAAGTTAGTGAAGGCGGGATAGGCGGAATCGCGCTGATAGAAGTGCTCTTCTCTTTCTCGCGCACACTCCACCTCTTCAGTTCTCTTATACAGCGCGCGATCAGTTCTCAGCGCTCAAATACACACACAGCAGTCCAAATGTGACCCTGGATCACAAAACCTGTCATAAGGGTCAATTTTTCGAAATTGATATTTATACATCATCTGATAGCTGAATAAATAAGCTTTCCATTGATGTATGGTTTTGTTAGGATAGGACAATATTTAGCCGAGATACAACTATTTGAAAATCTGGAATCTGAGGGTGCAAAAAAATCCAAATACTGAGAAAATCGCCTTTAAAGTTGTCCAAATGAAGTTCTTAGCAATGCATATTACTAATCAAAAATTAAGTTTTGATATATTCA